TACCTGAGCAAGTGCTCTTACTCCCCGCGACACAAACTGACCTTATAAGACCTTCTGCATAATAACCATCATCAGCAAAGAGCCCTGTGTGGGCTGGGGTTGCAGCATCCCTCAATAACGATGCGCTCTTTCTCTCCCCTGCCCCTTTTCTTTCTCCTTTCCCCCCCCCCCAGGATACGTAAGAAGAGATTTTTCACCGGTAATCAGCCTGCTTTATCAATGGAGCCCCGGATTCCCCACAACATCACCGTCGTCCCCAACTCAGTGATGGTCCAGCCCTTGCTGGACGGTCGCATCCCCTACGGGCGGCTGCAGCACCCGCTCACCATCCTGCCCATTGACCAGGTGAAGACAACTCACATCGAGAACGATTACACCGACAACCCCACCGCTTCCCAGCTGGCAGCCCAGAAGCGTCCCCGAGGTCCCCAGGAACTGGTTTTGACCAACCAGCACCTCCAGCGCTGCGAGCAGGATGTCACCCACCCCTGGATCTCCTTCAGCGGGCGCCCCAGCTCCATCAGCAGCAGCAGCAGCACATCCTCAGACCAAAGGCTCCTGGACCACATGGCCCCGGTGCCCGTGGCAGAGCAATCCTCCCCCAGAGCCGTTCGCATCCAGCCCAAGGTGATTAACTGCAAACCCCTGGACCTGAAGGGACCCGTGTCTCCAGAACTGGACAAGCACTTTCTCCTGTGCGAAGCCTGCGGGAAGTGCAAGTGCAAGGAGTGCGCGCTGCCCCGGACTCTGCCCTCCTGCTGGGTGTGCAACCAGGAGTGCCTCTGCTCGGCGCAGAACCTGGTCAACTACTCCACCTGCATGTGTCTCGTCAAGGGCGTCTTCTACCACTGCACCAACGAGGACGACGAGGGCACGTGTGCCGACCACCCCTGCTCCTGCTCCCACTCCAACTGCTGCGCCCGCTGGTCCTTCATGAGTGCCCTCTCCCTGGTGCTGCCCTGCCTGCTCTGCTACCTGCCCGCCACCGGCTGCGTCAAGCTGTCCCAGCGATGCTACGACCAAGTGAGCCGGCCGGGATGCAGATGTAAAAACACAAACAGTGTCATTTGCAAGGCGCTGCCGGAGAGCAAAGCCAGCAGACCAGAAAAGCCCTTTTGATAGTTCGGGAGGATGGGGAGTGGGAGGACGCTCCGTGGAGGGGGGTGGCGTTGGCTTTTTTTTTTAATAACCTGTGTTCTGAGGATGGCACTAGCCTTTTGCCTTTGGAGAAAGCAGAAGCAACTATTTCCACAAACTGCAGCACTTTGGGTTATTCAGGGTTTTGGAACTGTTCGGAATTTAAATAGATGGGGCCAAAGGAGGAATCCTAATACCGCAGAGTGAAGGCTGAACACCTCTGTATATCATGACATACAGCAGCCTGCCGAAGGTGACGGGTTAGCTCCCTCCCCCCTCCCCGCCCGCACACCACGCAAAGGGCCCGTTGCACACAAACGACACATTTGTCAAAAGCTTCCCGTATACCCTCCAAGATTTTGAACCAGAAGTAAAGATACGGTTCATTTTTTTAAAGGGTCTTTTAACATTTCTTTGAACTGGCCACATCCCTTGGAACCCTCTTTTCACAGCAGGATGGGAGCAGGGATGCTCCCGCCGGGAAGAACAGCAGCAGGATGTGTTCGGGCAGGAGTATCAACACGCTGTCGTGCTGCCCGCGAGCTGATCTGTAGCATCAGGTTCCACTCAATGGAATATTCATTTTACATCAACAGTACCAATCCGCTCCAGAAGGATGTCAGTCGAATCCCCTCTCCCCAACGCGCGCTTTTGCTCCCCCCGGGGATCTTCACTCATATCGGTCAGTGTTTGTTTCTCTCAACTCTGCAGCTCTGTTAGGAAGTCACACAAACCTAAGTGTGATACACACAGGTGTATTTTTCTTGGGATGTCAATCCAGTACCTCGTCTCCTGGAACAAGCTCTTCTTTGCTCATAAAATATTAAGATTTTTAATTTTTTTTGTCTTGGGGACGAGTGGCATTTGGTTGAAGTACAGCCCATTCCCCCCCTCTATTGCTGCTGTTTGGCTTTTGCCTCCTCTGCACAAAAGTGTGTCTTTTTAAATGTACAGAATGCTTTTCATGTTTATTTTAGTGTTAACAAACACGAGGGAAAGCCAGAGGACAGAAGACAGTGTTATTTAAAGAATGTGCCCACGGTTTTCCGTAAGCGAATGTCATCAGCTTTGCCCGTGCACTCATCCTAGGGCTGGTTCTGCGTTCCCTTAGGAGGCAGAAACCCCTGAAGATGCAGAAACCCCTTTCTCTTGACAACTACAAGGTGCTAAAGAAAAATCTTTGTCCAAACATGCAACACTGTAATTAGTAGGTAGGTACTTGTTGCATGCAGAAAACTGATCTAGTCTTTCTTTTCTCCATTTTTTTTTTTTTAATTAGAGGAAATTTCCTCAGTAAGTGCGCAGCAGTGACAGTGAAATGTCATCTCCAATGAGATGAGCAATAGGCAGAGCTCATGGAGCATTTCCAGGAATCCCATTCGCTTGGCTGCAATGCAGTTGGTGCATAAGGGGTTGGCAGGAGCGTTCTGATGGGAGTGCTGGTGTCTTTTGGTTTAAGAATCCGTTTAACCTGGACGACTTGGGGTTTAGTTAATTGTAGATATTTATTGAATAGGGGATTAAGAAAAAACCCCTCACCTTTCTGTATTTATAACATTTGCTAGCTTGTCTATGATAAATCACAGGAAAAGGGATACTCTGTCACCAGACACCAGTTCCTATGGTTTATCCTCGTGCTGACCATATGGGGACAGCAGAAAGAAGCAAGCAGGTGGAGACCCAGAGCTGTGTATAGCATCTTGCACAAATGAGAGGCGAAAGGGTAGAAGGAAAACCAGCCCCCAACTCGCTGAACTGTTGGTTGAATGTATAAGGTATTGTATTTAATAAGATAAATAATTTTCCTAAGACACAAACAGGCTAGAGAATGCAGCAGGAGAGGTATCTACCTGCTGCCCTCCTCTGCTGGGACCATACGTATCCAAACGGCCCCTGCCTACGGCTGGTTTGCCTTTCTGCCCCTCTGTCCCTGGCTGCTCCTGGGGGATTTGTCCTGAAAATCTGCGACAGCAAAGCCTGTGGTTTCGATGCATGGTCCTTGCAAGCAACTCCAACGCCGGAGCAGTCGCCACTGTGCCAATCTACACTCATGTATATACACGCCGCGACCCCCCGGATTTCCTTCCATTGTACATAGCTGTAAACTATTTCTCTGTTGGTTTCTTTTAATATATAAATCCCGCTATGGTGTAAGCCACTCCCCCGCTGGAAGACTGTCAAGCGTTAGTGGATGTGTTAGAGCAGTGGTAAATGTAGCAGAGCCACCCTTCCTCTACCCCTTGGTCCCAGCACCGCCGTCGGACCCTGCTCCACCAGCTCCCGCCCGCGGCACGGCCGGAGAGCACTGGGAAAGGCGCGGGGCTGGCGGAGGGTACGTCTCGGGTCAATGATGCCTGCATCCCTCTCTTCCCCCATCCCCACGCCTCCACCTCCCCCATCCTCTTTGAAGGTACTTGGGTCTCCTGCCACCCCCGAGACGTACCACGGGCACGGTGTAACCGCGGTCCCCTGGCTCTGGCCA